CTTTCATTTCAATTTCTGCAGAGGCCGGCAGAACTCTGTGTGTTCAAGGCCAGCATGGACTACAGAGTGTGTTCCAGGACATTAAGGAGAATGTAGAGAGATTCTTCCTCAAAAACAAAACAAAACAAACCATACAAAAAGACAAAATGGCCAACACTTAAATTTATGCTGACACTGGTGATTTATAAACAGGCTGGAAACTGGCAATGAGAATTAGGTTGGATTGAGCAACATGAGTCATTAAAGTAATGCTGAAGGCCATTAAGAGTATACAGCAGGTGACAACTAGTGCTCAACAGATGGACCCACCAGACGAATAACTCTGATGGGGAGCCCCAGTTGGAGATGACTGTTTGTCTCTGCCTGTGATTCTGTCATGAGCTATCGTGAGTTCTCCCTAGAAAGAACAGTTTTGAGTATTTCTCTCCTCTGTGTGTTTATCTCATTCCATCTACTGGGCACACACAGCTGGGGACGGTCAGGAAGATGCTTTCTGCTTAATTGAATAATTCTGATGAATAGTAATAATACTAGGAGATTTTCATTACTCAGTCTGACATGGGAAAGCAATCGCATTCTCAGTCACAGAGACAGCTAATTCTAGACTTCAAAACAAAGTCAAAGCAATCTGGTTGCCCCTGGAGACGAATACACAAGGTCAGTTTCCCAGGTGTTTACTGCTTAATCAAGGTCAGGCCTGAAGCCACGTCAGGAGACACAATTTTCTCATCAATGGACTTTCTGCACGTACTTCCAGCCAAGTGTTTGTTGTGTAAGTCCTGAATGTCACTGTCACTTTCTGCCTGGGAACCCGGACCACTTAGAGCTACGTGCAAGGCCAAGTGTTACTCACTGGCTGGTCAGCGCGACCTCCCTTGCCTGAGAGAAACTGTGGGATCGGTTTGGCTCTGATTCTTTTTTTTAATATTTATTTATTTATCTATTTATTTATTTATTATGTATACAATATTCTGTCTGTGTGTATGCCTGCAGGCCAGAAGAGGGCACCAGACTCCATTACAGATGGTTGTGAGCCACCATGTGGATGCCGGGAACTGAACTCAGGACCTTTGGAAGAGCAGGCAATGCTCTTAACCACTGAGCCATCTCTCCAGCCCCTTGGCTCTGATTCTTATTGTTTACTTAGGAAGTGCTGTGTGACACTGAAAATGTGATTCATATCTGTCCAGAGGCTTTACTGTAAAAAGGAGAAGTAGGAGATGTGTGTGTGCATGTGTGTGTGCATGCGTTTGCGTGCGTGTGTGTGGTATGAGAGAGTGTGTGCATGCATGCGTATGTGAGTGTGTGTGAGAGTGTGTGTGCATGCATGTGCGTGTGTGTGTGATGTGAGAGAGTGTGTGTGGTCTGTGTGTATGTGTGTGTGAGGGTGTGGTTTGAGAGAGTGTATGTGTGCATGCATGCGTGTGTGCGTGCATGCGAAAGTGTGTATGTGTGGTCTCTGTGTGTGAGTGTGTGAGAGTGTGTGTGCGTGCGTGCATGTGTGTGAGTGCGTGTGAGAATGTGTGTATTGTCTCTGTGTGTGCATATGCATGCATGTGTGTGAGAGTGTATGTGTATGCTCTGTGCGCGCATGTGTGAGTGTGTGTGTGGTCTGTGTGTGGTGTGAGAGAGAGTGTGTGTGCATGCATGTGTGCTTGTGCATGTGCATGCATGCATGCGTGTATGAGTGTATGTGTGAGAGAGAGTGTGTGTGGTTTCTGTGTGTGTGAGTGTGTGGTGTGAGAGAGAGTGTGTGTGTGTGGTCACTGTGTGTGTGAGTGTGTGTGTGGTCTGTGTGTGTGTGTGTGTGTGAGAGAGAGAGAGAGAGAGAGAGAGAGAGAGAGAGAGAGAGAGAGATATGAAAAGGAGGCAGACCTTAATGTACAGAGGGAGAAGTATGAGAGACGGAGAGAGAAGTGGTATGTAGCTGTATGTAAAGAGATGTAACTGTGTAGAGAGACTGTCAAGAAAGAGCTTATTTAAGATGAAGTAAAAAAGAAGGTTGCCATCAGGAAAGTGTGTGCTTGTTCCTTTTTGCTTAAGGTCAGAAGGCATGCATTTCTTTATCTGCCCTCAGATAGAGAAGAATTCTCCTAAGACCCCGCTGCTCTGAGAAGGCATTCTTTTCACTATGCTGGGTGCAGTCCTGGGAGCTGGACTCACGGGCTGCAACAAAGTAATTATAATTTTATCTTAATTTTGATTGTGCCCTGTATATCATTCCTTATTCTGTACTTTTGTAAATATCTTTCAGAGTGGGTTCCACCTCAGCCAGAATACTTCTATCAACCTACAGGAGACGAGAAGATGCCTGAGGTTGTGGGAGAAGAGCAAGGCACAGTTGTCTACCAGTTAGATTCAGGTACCGTCACTGCACTGAACACCAGTTAGATTCAGGTACTGTCAGTCACAATGGGTGATTGAGTAGGATAAAATTACAGCAAGCTTAGTATGCACAAGAGAAGTGGTTTTAATTTTTAAAAATGTATTTCTGTGTCTGTGTGTTTATGGGCATGCGTGCCGTGATGCACGTTTGGAGGTCTGAGGACAGCTTAAGTCAGTCCTCCTGCACCTTTATGTGGGTCCCAAGGAGAAAACTGGAGTCATCAGGCTAAGCTCCTCTACCCACTGAGCCATCTTGCCAGTCCTAAAAATGATCTTATTTATGTCCTTTTTTTATAACGATCATTTTTTATGAATAAGGGGGTTTATTTATGGAAAGAGGCACAACATAGCACATACAGATAGAGGTCAGAGGACAAATTCTGAAAGTCACCTCTGTCCTTCTACCTTGTGGAAGCCAGGGTCTGAGCTCAGGTCGTCAGGCTCGATGGCAAGTTCCTTTGCTTTTGAACCATCTCACTGACCCTAATAGTGATTTCAAGAATTGACACCTGAATGATAAATAATCTATCTTTGCCTTTGTGGAGACCTTGATAGTCATGACTGATCACCTGGACATTTTCAATAGTCTATTTATTTATTCATCTATCCATCCGTCTGTCTGTCTATCTATCTATCTATCTATCTATCTATCTATCTATCTATCTATCTATCATATATCTATCTATCTATGTATCTATCATCTATCTATCTATCAATCATCTATTTGTTAATTTGTTTTTCCAGGCAGAGTTTCTCTGTGGCTTTGGAGCCTATCCTGGAACTATCTCTGTACACCAGGCTAGCCTCGAACTCACAGAGACCCATCTGCCTCTGATTCCACCCAGCTCCCTGAGTTCTGGGGTTAAACCACCCAGTCAATACCAATAGCTTATTTTTAATTACTTTTAAGTGTTACTTTATGTGTATGGCTTTTTCCTGCATGAACACCCTGAACTGGAGTCAGACTTAATCTGAGCTGCCATGTGGGTGCTGGAAATGGAGTCTGGCTCCTTTGAAGGAGCAGCCAGTGCTCTTAGCCACTGAGCCATCTTCCCAGCTTTTCAATAGTTCTTTATTTGTTTTTAAATTTTTTTGGGGGGGGTTGTTTGTTTCTTCATTTGTTTGTTTGTTTCTGAGACAGGCTCTCTTTGTGTAGCCCTGGCTGTTCTGGAACTCTCTCTGTAGACCAGACCGGCCTCAAACAGAGATCTGCCTGCTTCTACCTCCTCCTGAGTGCTAGGATTAAACATCTGTCTCTTTTGCCTGGCTTCAATAATTCTTTTTTAAATGATGATACATTTTCTCTTCCTTTTTTTCTTTCATTTATTTATTTATTTATTCCTTTTTGAGACAGGGTCCTTCAGTGTAACTCAATATTGTAGACCAATCTGGCCTTGAGCTCACTGAGGTCCACCTGCCTGCCCGGCCACCCGATTGCTGGGTGGGTTATAGGTGTGCTACCCTGCCTTTTCTGACAAATGTTATTGTGTTACAGAAGTTAGACCACCTTAAATGTTACTTTGACAAATGTTATTGTGTTACAGAAGTTAGACCACCTTAAATGTTACTTTGAAATATTAAACAAAATAATGAAATCTCTATGAATGGCATCTGTTTTCTGAGCTGCACTTTGCAGTTCCAATGAAAAGCTGAACTCAGGGCCGTGCAGCTTTTGGTTCCTCTCCTTCTTCCTGTACGCTTATTTTCTTCTGATGAGTTCTTTATATGCACATTTGTTAGAGCTGTTTCTCCAGCCGCTAGCTAAGCTCTACAGTGACAAGATTGGATATGGAAGCAAAAGTCCTCCCTGAGGCTGGGCGTGGTGGTGCAGACCCAGCACTCAGGAGGCCGTGACAGGCAGAGCTCTGTGAGTTCAAGGCCAGCCTGCTTTGCGTAGACCAGCCAGGGCTACATACATGCTTACATACATGTATGACTGTATGATTAAATATGTATATATCCCTGAGGCCAGAGAGATGGCTCAGCAGTAAGAGCCCTTGCTGCTCTTCCAGAGGACCTGAGTGCGGTTGCCATCATCAAGCGGGTGGCTCACAACCTCCTGGAACTCCCACTCCAGGGAATCGAATGCCCTCTTCTGGTCTCCATGGCTACTTGTACTTATGTGATGTGCACCTACAAATGAATAAAAAATAAATCTAAAAAAGTCAGATTCCTTCCAATCACTATTGTTTAGTTGATGCTCCAGGGTCAACATATTTGATAGCAGTATCTTGGCATCTGATGAGGTTAACATCTGAAATATATAATGAATATTATAATATTATATATGAATATAATAAACATGATGAAAGTATAGTAAAATTGTTTATCATTGTGATCTTCATAAGAAAGGCAGGATTTTATGAAGTATATATATTAAAAATGTTTTAAATTGCAAGGTCATGACAAGTGAGAAAATAAATTTTCATCATGTTAACAAAAATATGGAAGGAGCAATGAGGTGGGCTCTTGAGGACACAGCACTAACAGCCCTGTGCAACACTGTGCACATCTAAGCACCTTTTCAACGGTAACCTCAAAACTTGCGGACGCTGGGCTGGGAGCCGTCTCCAGACCCTGGGGTCCATCACAGCACCGCAGTAGACTGCACGGAGGTACAGACGCTTAAGCATAGCCTCCACCATTCTGAATACATGAGACCCTAGCTCAAAAAGGCAGCAAAAGAAAATTGAAAGGTCGGGCCTGGTGTGGCACTTGCCTTTGATACCAACAGGAGCAGAGCAGGCAACTCTCTGTGAGTCGAGGCCAGCCTGGTCTACAGCAACTTCAAGGCCAGCCTGGGCTACACAGCCAGTTCCAGGACAGCCAGAGCCGCTGGCTGCACAGAGAAACCCTGTCTCGAAAACCAACCAACCAACCAAACAACAACAAAAATTAAAACAAACAAGTAAATGAAAAACTTAGAAATGATGAACTGTTGAAAACTAAGGGCCTCTGCTGTAGATGAAGTTTAATTGTTGATCAGTGGCCTGGCATGGTGAGGCCCTGTATTCAACCACTACCGCTGTACGTAAAAATATCTAATGTCAGTAAAACTAAGGGTGCTAGTGAGGACAATAAATAATCCATTGACCATTTAGGGGGTTGGGAGGGCTCAGTGAAGACTTGCTGAATGAATGAATTCTGAGTGAACTCTGCCTAATGGTGTCTTTCTCATCGGCAGTACCCACAGATGGTGCCTACTTCACCAGTTCCAGAATAGGAGGCAAACGAGGGATTATCAAGGAACTTGCTGTTACGTTGCAAGGGCCAGAAGATAATACCCTGTTGTTCGAATCAAGGTTTGAGAGCGGGAATCTGCAGAAAGCTGTCAGAGTGTAAGTGACGGAGTCTGGAAGGTGCGGCTGGGGCTCTCAGGAGTGCAGAATGTTTGAGAAAGAGCGGTAGAAGGCTTACTAAGGGGAGGAAGAAGAATGGAATAATTATGACTAATTTCCCCAGAATGAAACACTAGGTTATTTCTTCTGCTCACAGAAGAAGGAAGAGCTTACGTAAAAGTTCTATAAACGGACCTGCAAGAGGACACAGGGCAAAGTCATGCGCACCTCATGCTTGACAACCTGACCGCAATCCCTGGACCCCATGTAAAGGTGGAAGGAGAGAACCAGTTCCACAAAGTCGGCCTGTGGCCTTCATAGAGTTGCCATGGCACATACCCTCTTGTACACACAATAGTAATGATATATAAAATTCTAACATTTTTACTAGTAAAAATAATATTCGACATAAAAAGTCCTGTATATAAGGACTGTTTGGTATGTGTCCATATGCATATGTGTAATAACACATATTACATGTATAAGTTAAACATGTGCCTCCTCTTGTTTGCGAAAGTTGGGCTCAGTGGCGTGTGCTTCTCTGTTCCGCCTACTCAGGCTGTGGAAGGAGTAGGTTTGCTGAAGCCTAGTTCAGTTGGTTATCTGTGTGTTCGAGGTTGGCCTGGTTTACCTAGTGAGTTTCAGGGCTATGTGGAGAGACCTTTCCCCAAAGCAAACAAAAACAATTGAACCCAGGGGCTGGAACAAAGGCTCAGCAGTTAGGAGCACTTGTTACTCTTGTAGAAAGCCAGGGTTCAGTTCCCAGCACCCGGATGGTGGCTCACAAACATCCGTAGCTTCATTTCCAGGGCATCTGACCCCCCTTTTCTGATCTTCACAGTTACCAGGTATACACATGGTGTATGTACAAACATCCAGGCAAAACATTCATACATATAAATAAATCCAAAGAAAAATTTAAATTGAACCCAGTGCCTAACATATATGAAGCATATATCCTACCACTAAGCTATATTCCTGACCACTCCTTCCTTCCTTCCTTCCTTCCTTCCTTCCTTCCTTCCTTCCTTCCTTCCTTCCTCCTTCCTTCCTCCTTCCTTCCTTCCTTCTTCCTTTCTCCCTTCCTTCCTTCCTTCCTTCCTTCCTTCCTTCCTTCCTTCCTTTTTTTCTTTCTTTCTTTTTTCCCCCAGACAGGGTTTCTTGTGCATCCCTTGCTCTCCTGAAAGTCACTCTGTAGACCAGGCTGACTTCTTATTTCACTATGCATTTTCTTAATTATTGGTGTGGTGGATCATTTTTCCTTGCCTTGTACATTTCCTTTTGTGATTTCATTTTCCATCTTTATTTCTTTTATATTTGTGACAGGATTTGCTATAGCTCTGAGTCTGGCCGTAACTTACAGTCCTCCTGCTTCAGGCTCCAAATGCTAGGATTCTATGTGTACATGACTATGCCTAGTCCTTTAATAAAAACATTTCTCAGCTGAGCAGTGGTGGCGCACAGGCCTTTAATCCCAGCACTCGGGAGGCAGAGGCAGGCAGATCTACAGAGCAGGTTCCAGGGCAGACTCCAAAGCTACACAGAGAAACCCTGTCCCCAAAAAACAAACAAACAAATTCTCTTTTGAAGAAGAGGACATGCTGCACAAGCGTGTGTGTGAGTGTTTGTGTGGGTCAGGGGGCAGCTCGCTAGTTGATGTTTGGAAAGATGTCAAGAAGTTAGCAGAGTCTCCAAACATCCGATGCAGCAGTAAACCTGTCTGTTTGGCTTTTTTAAAAAAATTGGAAGAATAATTTATTTTTTCTTTTATATATAAGAATTCTTTTTTTTTTTTTTTTTTTTT